TTGGAGCTATTCAGGGGCCCCTATTCAGGGCCAGTGCTTTCTATCCAGCGCTTACTTGCCCATCCTTCTCCTGCCTCAACTGTGACAGGAGTGAATGGAAGTCGGGGTGGGGGTGGGGGTGTCACCTAACGCTGCTGGCTCACGCTCTGAGGTGCCGTATGTTATGGGGGGGAAGTAAACGAACTTCGGAAGGGCTGTGTGCGGTGTTATTCAGGGGCCCCTATTCAGGGCCAGTGCTTTCTATCCAGCGCTTACTTGCCCATCCTTCTCCTGCCTCAACTGTGACAGGAGTGAATGGAAGTCGGGGTGGGGGTGGGGGTGTCACCTAACGCTGCTGGCTCACGCTCTGAGGTGCCGTATGTTATGGGGGGGAAGTAAACGAACTTCGGAAGGGCTGTGTGCGGTGTTGGATGTGACCAGTTCTCTAGCAGGTCTGTTTTCCTTGTTGCTGTCGGTTGAGGGGTTATAAAGAGTTTGAACTTTGAACAGTTTTAGCAAATAACTATATACTTCCATAAGACCGTCCCACACAGCATCTGGATTAATGAGGAATTCTTAGCATTATGGCTGAATACTGCCTTAGTCTGCTGACATCAAAGAGGAGTGCACACTAACGTGGTGGAGGCTTACATGATGTTTGGTTGTGTCAGAATAATTAAAGATACTACATCTTAGCTGGTAGAAGAAGAGGATGGGAATCTGGTTTTGCTTTTTGGTCATCTTCTTAATTGCGCTTTTTGCCCTTTCAGATAACAAGCTACTAGAGAAGTCGGACCTTCATGCGGTGCTGGCTGATAAGCTTCAAGCAGAAAAATATGACATGCAGAGCAGACATGAGATCAGGTATTTAAAATTCCTTTTTTGTCAGTCAGCTGTCTGTCACGCATACTGTAACCTAAACCATTGTTTGATGCATTACATAAACATCTTCTAGGTTACTACAGTAACTTGGAATAAAACAAACTGGGAAATCTGTTGATCTAAATAAACTGTAACTAACTCTAAACATGTGATAAAGTTACAATATGTTTACAGTATACAGTGCAGAAAGATCTGACCAAGTTTTTGACAGAAATTAATTAATCACAAACTCAAGGTATGGAGGTGGACCAGAATGAGCTTCTGCTTCTGATCTGTTTGCCTTGTAATGCTTATAATGTTTGCCTGGTGTTAGTTCCTAATGATTATGATCTGATTCTTGAAATTGTCCAATCTTATAAGCATTGCAGGGAGAAACTGATGTCTGGGTTTCTTTCAATCTGTGTTATCACATAGAATGGAGAAAATCATGACTGTGAAGCGTCAGTCCTAAATAAGCACCGTATGCTAAAACGAACGTGTCTTCTGCCTGCTTTTAGCAGGATTTTTTCAGGAAACTTCCTCTCTAACCTGGGAATAGCACTTCAGTGCAGCAGGCAGGTGTCGTGCTGCTTATTCTGTTGGCATTTGAAACCACAGCAAACCAATATGCTAGTAGTGTGTCCTTTGTATGGACAGCATGTAAATCCCAGCAGGTAAAGGCTGTTGGGTTCTGCTCTTGGTGTAACTGAAGAAAAGGCAGGGCAGTAGCTCAGAATTTCCTACTTCTGTAGGAATTGCTTCCTCTGTTGAAGCTCTTTGTGCTCTATAATGTGAAACTGTATATGCATGTCTAATTGGGATACAAAACAAATATAGTTAAAGCTATTATATACTATTACTAGTAAGGAAAGAAGAACTGATTTTACAGGAATTGCAGGCAAAACGTCAGTGTTTGGCCAGCAGGCTGGAGTTAACACCTGTGTGAAAGTTCTCAAAAGCTTTCTGATGACTGCAGTTGTCTTGAACCATCTTTAGTTTATGGGAATCTGATTCTGGTTGAACACCTACTCCAAGAGGTGAGGCTGGAGTAGACGAGGATGAGAAAAGATGCACAAAAACGGCATCTTCAAAGTAAATACTAAGCTGAACCATGATACTGTCCTCAGTATATGACAGTTTTTTGAAACAGAATGAATTCCCTAATCCCAGATAGCTGAGGAAAAATGCTTTTACTTACCTTAAGGCCAAGGAGGAGAATCTAGTTCTGGCTATAGAGCTATGCATGGCCAGAGTTATAGGACATGTTGGATATTACCACAGGACTTGGCTTCCTAACTGTTTGGACACAGTTTTTTGGAAATACAGCGTCTTCTAGTACAGCATTAGTTCAGTGAGGTTTGTTTGTTTGTTTTCTGAGAAGAGCATAAAGTTACTGATATCACTGAGACCTTTCAGCTTCTGAATGCATTATCTGTTTCCCATTGGACTGTGACAACACAGAATGACTACAGGAACAGACGCTTGTTCTGTTTGTCTGGTATAATAGTGAAAAACTTAAAATTATTAGTTTTAAAAGCTGTAATTTATAATATAGCTGCTAACTTGCTCAAAGTCTCTGTGTGTGATATGTATATGTGTGTATATGCTTTTAAAAAACTGACTTCTGTTCCTGTCTCTGCGCTTTCAAAGACATGAGTGATAAATGTTACAATGATAGTTGTCTGGGGGGTGATATGTGTGTTCTTCTGGAAATTCCAGAATTAAATTAAAAAATTAATTACACACAATTAAAAAACACCCCAAAACCTTTACACAATAAGGCTAGAACATACTTGGGGCAATGGAGAAGTGACTTGTAAGACCTGGGATTATAAACCCAAGGGCCTGGGAATATACCCTTGGTTCTCTGGCTTTTGGTTCTGTGCCTTGTATTACGCTGTCTCCAGATGTTTAGCATCTTCGAGGTCCACCAGCTCCCTCCAAAACAAATTTGAGGTGGTAAAATATTTGTAATTCTTCCAGAATTTGGAGACTTTACTTTTAAGACTCAATTGTCTTCATGCAAATTTAAGCAAAGGCTAGTTTTCTTTCATTTGTGTTTGAATTCTATTTTAGAAATGGTCAAAAAGGTGAATTGAGTCCTCAGTAAATTTAATTTTCCAGTACTATATAATGGCATTTTGGTTGGCGAGAAGTGTGTTGTGGGGGAGTTTGTTATGAATGACCTGTATCTCTGATGTAGTATAGAAAATCCAAGGGATTTTGTCCTGAGACTTAATTGGTCAAAGGCACAGGAGCAATTGGATTCTGGTTTGTGACTTTCTTCTTCCTCTCTCAAACTCCAGTCCCGGACATGATGGCACATGGAATGATGCTCAGTTGCAGGAACTGGCACAGCTGAAGATAAAACATCAAGAGGAGCTGACAGAGCTGCATAAGAAACGTGGCGAGGTTAGAAAGTCCTCTCGTGTTCTGTATGGTCCATATGTGGTCCTTTGTGAACATGACCTTAATTTTAGCAAGCTTAATCATCATCATATTTTTCTCATTTCATGTACAGCCTTTTTAAGCTCCCCATGTTGATGATTAAAATAAACCAGAGATTGTTGGTCTTTAAAACTGACAGTCAGGAGATAAGAGCTTACGTTGTCAGCATAGCATGATTTTTAAGACGTGCTTAATTTTGTGTTTCACAAATAGGTTTTTAACTGTATTTATTAGAGGAAGGAAGGAACTGATCTAGTTTACGGAGCTGCGCATGACCACTAGTTCTACACTGAAAAGACTTTGAATGAGTGAGAGAATAGGTGGCTGTGTGTGGTTTCATTTGTCTCTCTCACATTGCAGGACCACTGCTATGAAAGAGTGGACAAAATAAACAAGCACAAGCAAAGGTTGAAGGTGCTATGGTGTTAGACTGAAAAGGGAGTGCTGGTTCTGCCATGTAGATGCAGTAGGGAGCCCAGGAGTCCTGTAAGCTATGGGACTTGGGCCAGGGAGAGGGGAAAAGCTGCTATCTCTTTTTTTTTTTTTTTTTTTAAACAGGAAGATGTGGAGGCTTCATTAGCAGAATTGTTTTTGTAAATACCACAGCGGTGGGTTGAATGAGTCCAGGAGCTAGTACCTGAATGATACTGCAGACTTTTATAGGGAGAAGGTGGGAGCGATCTGGAAAACATTATCATGGTCCTTTGATCACACCTCACTGGAGTTGTGGAGAAGCTCCAGTGTCAGTAACTCTGAGCTTTTCAGAGAGGAGACAGCTTTCTACAGGAGGTGTGCACTGACTAGTCAAAGCAGTGAGAATTCCTTCTTTCCCCTCAACCTGGTGTCCTAAGCCATCTCCCCAGGCAGGCACTCTTCTCAAAACTCAGTCTTCCTTCTCCCTGGGCAGCCAAGGCTCTGCAGGCTGCGGGGCTTTCTTCTGCTCACTGACTGGGTAGCTGTGAGCTGGGAGTGGCAGCAGCTCATTAGTGTTGGCCTCTGCCCCTCTATTTCCTGTGCACTGCAGAGACGCCACCAGCAACTTACTTTGTGGGAAAACTCTCATGAAATCTGTGTTTACAATATGTCAGCTACATGTCTCCTGTAATGGCTGTCCTGAAAGTAACAAGAAGATTTGTTCCTTGGTTGTTAGTATTCATGTGTTGGTTTGTTTACTTGGCAATTTTTAGTTCCTGTATTGATTTTTCCAGGACTTTAAAAAATAAAATTTCTTAATATGCATTCTGTTTGATGTGACTTTATTAAAGAAACTTTTTGAGGGAAGGGGGTGAGATATCAAAGAACAGTAACTTGTTGACAACTCATATTTGAGAGTAGATTCCCTGACTTAATGACCTGTGTGATAGGGGCAGTAAACAGATCTGTATAGAGAGCTGTGAAAGAAGACCTGAAAGGTGTGCTTCCTGCTGTGATGTTATATTGGTCTGTGCTCTCGCTGGTTGCTGCTCAGTGTGTGTTATCCAGCTGGCATCCCTGCATTTTGTAATGTAATTTTCTCCTCTCTGTAGCTGGCCCAGTCTGTAATTGATCTGAATAACCAAATGCAGCAGAAGGACAAAGAGATGCAGATAAATGAAGCAAAGTGAGTAGGAACTGTTTCATCTGCGTGGTTGGTATGAGACCCAGACTTCTGGCTGAGTTATTATAATATTGAGTGTTAAGTGCTATAATATTCTCTAGGAGTCCTAGCCATGGGCTAAAAATTCCTTTGTTAGGCATTGTACAAATAGCACAATGGTAGATGGTATAGGTCCCAAAGGAGATTCTCATTGTTTCGTATATTTTATTGCCATTCTAGGATTGCAGAGTATTTGCAAAAGATCTCTGAACTGGAAACAGAGTGCCAGGAATTGCGTAGCAAACTGCAAGATCTTGAGCGAGCTAATCAGACACTGAAAGATGAATATGATGCTCTCCAGATCACCTTCAATGCCTTGGAGGAGAAACTGAGGAAAACTACTGAAGACAACCAGGAGCTGGTCTCACGCTGGATGGCAGAGAAAGCACAAGAAGCCAATCGTTTAAATGCAGAAAATGAAAAGGATTCAAGGTGAGATTGATAACCTCTATTTGATAAACTACTTCCCAATATATTTTTGAATACTTGTGAGTGCATAGGATAAAATCAGATTTACTTTTGATCTCTATTCTTGCATAACACAATGAGAGTCCAGAACTTCGTGTCCCTTCTTTTGGCCGACACAGACGGATGCTTTGTGAAAACATTCCTGTCTTTTAAATGAATAAAACATGTTCTTTGGTTTCTTGAGCAACATTTAACTATGGCCTAAAGATCATAAATCAGATGGAAACTGGGGTTTTTTTGCTGGTATTAGATTTGGACTTCTCTTCTTCATATCGTATCTTGATACTACTCCTAGTTTCATCCTTTTTTGACTTAACCAATTTAAGTGTGTCTTGCATTCTGCTAAAAGGAGAAACTGCCATGAGACTGAATTATGTATAACTTGCAAAAATAAGTTTGTACTTCTTTTTTTCTTGCAAAATAATAATTTTTATTCTTCTGAATTGCTTCAGCTTACTTTCCAACTAACAATACTTGGAGACGGAGCTATAAGACAAGTCTTATGGCACTTGGCAATTTTGTATTATCTTTACTAACATAATGATTATTTTTGCAAGTTCTTGCACTCCGAGCAAATCCACATTCATATAGGTCATAAAGGGCTGTAGGTACGCTTTGCCTTATTGCCTCACTCAATTGATCTTGTCCTTTGCTATTCATGGAAAGAAAACTGCCTCTCCTGCACTGAGTGTCTTGAAAAGCAGGATAAAATCAGGGCAGTGGTCTGATTATTTTTGTTTGTTTGGTTGGTTGGTTTTTTTAAATTTTATGAAGCCCATTAAACCTGTGCACGGTATTCTTTGGAATGAGATTAAGGAAGTGTTTTTTTGTTTTTTTTTTTTTTTTTTAAATAACCTTGTTTTCTTTTTCTTAGGAGACGACAAGCCAGGCTGCAGAAGGAGCTAGCAGAAGCTGCCAAAGAACCCCTTCCTGTTGAACCGTAAGCAGTCTTGATTTACAGAGTCACCTTCATCACTTCATGCTTCAGTTTTATGCAGATGCATGATAAATAGTCTTTGTTATTTCTAAATTTGGAGATGTAGAGGAGTGTTTAAACTTTGGTGTAAAGTCAGAAATGTACAGTAACTCTCCCTACTTGAACTTCCAGGAGAAGGAGTTCTGTTATGACTAAAAATAGATGCTTGGACTCAAAGTCCTAAGAATGGTTCATATGGTGAATGTATTTTCTTATCTCAGCATAAAAACATTTGTTATGTGGTGCCTTTGGTCTTTAAAATAGTTCTTTAATCATGGAGCAATACTCTCTTGAGATGCCTACATTTTTAAATGTTAGACTACAAATAGGATCAAGGATTTCCTGTAGGAACAGGTACTGAGTTAAGGTAGGTGAAAGTATATTGATCACTTCCATACTGGGAGAGATTTATTCTGTAGGAAAAAAAAATAGATAGATGTGGAGTTACTTTTCCTGGCAAGCCAGAGATAAATATCTCTAGTCTCTTGTTCTTTTCAGCAGCAGCACATGTATATTTGCTGCTGTGTTTACTCCTGGGTGGTATTTAATCAGCTGACTGAAGTGGGCAGTTGATGGTATAGGTGCTTTGCACCAGGTTGATAAGGCTGTTGGTGCTTGTGTTAGCCAAATCCAGAAAAACTTACACCTGCTGCACTGTTAGTGGAAACAGCTGAGACAGTCCTCAGGGCACTGCCAGAGCAGTGTGCCGGCTTTTTATTGATATCTGTTATCTTTGTACTAGCATTATGTCATTACGTTGTGTGCTGCATGGCCTTGCGCAGGATAGGAGCAATGTATCTCCTCTGGAAGAGGACCCATGCAAAAGACTGGGGTAGGTAGGAAGAGCATGTATAAGAGGAGTATGGGAGAGCTTGTAGCATTTGGAAGGAAAATTGAAACTGCAATTAACAATGCAGCTACTTAGCACAATTTGCTTGGCTTTTTTTTTTTTTTTTTAAATGCTTCCATTCCCTTAGCTTATTGAGGTGTGGCTCTCCATGACAAGATTACTGCTGACCTGTGTGTCACAGGCCAGTGGACAGTCCCAAGCCAGAGGACAGTCTTCCCAGCTTGTAAGAATAGTGATATCCCTTTTCCCCACATTATTTGATGTAAACGCACATGGAATATCGTAGAATATTAAACTCTTCAATAAATAATACTGCACTGAGAGGGGAAACACACATGTAATGTCTGTGGCCACTTTCCCTATTAAGCTTCTTCCTCTCCATTACCCAAAGCAAGACCTTCCTATCTTAGAGCTGAGCTCGGAGGTAGCTGTAGCACAACACTTGAATATTTTACTTCCTCTTGTGGTGGGATGATGGTCTCATAGTGTTTCATAAATAATTTGATATGAGACACTGAGAAGTTAAGAAGAAGCCTATTTTAAAAAAAAAACCTAGAAAATAGTTGCTTCTGTAAATTCCTCAAACTCTGCCTCACAGATGTTTTTGATTCCTTCTTTTTTATTTCGTAATTTTAGTGGGTTTGTATTGTATAAATGTGCTACTTACTGAAGGGAAAAATAGCAGCATTTCGAAGAGCGTGCCCTGGTGTTTATATTCACTTCAAAAATATGTTAAGTTAACATGGAAAGTTTTTTCGCTACATACAATTTTAATAGCTCAAACTTTAGATTTTAAAAAAGAAATATCAGCAGAACTTGATAGTGTTTTATTGAAATATCATACTCTGATTGAAAGTATCAGGCTATATTTTTCCACAGTCTTTTCATATATACTGTCCTCCAATATCTTAGAACTTAAAGTGCAGCTATATTCTGAAACAAGAGATTAAAAATGGTCCCATCCTCTTCAATTCTTTTGCAGCTGAGTGTTATCTGATGGCAGGAATTGGTTTATTCCTACTTAAATGCTGAATTTAAACTTCCTGTTCAGTCAAATGGCATCAGGTTGATTGTTTAAAAATAGTTTGTCCTGCAAAATCAGCAGTGAAGGAAGAATCATCATTGAAGGAAAAAATACTGGGCTGTCAGAGCCCACGATGACTAATGGGGAAAAACCTTTTAGTGTTAGCAGAATAGTTTAGCTGGATTAATTTATGGTATATGTATTGGAACCTCAAACTTCTTTCTGTTCAGTTGTACACCAACACTTTAATGAAGTGTACCAAAACATCCCTCGTCCTTAATGGAGCAGCACCTGAAGTACAACAGTATAGAAAGTATCCGGATGTCTTTGGTGTGGATGAAGAAGGAAAATTCACTCTTGTGCTTTTTTTAATACTACTTTGTTTTGGAACAGCAAAAAAGGTGTTGTGAAAATAAGATATCAGCTGTATTTGGGGTTGTAATAACTCATGTTTTTGCTGTTCTGTAACTGTTCCAGCAAATATAGTTCACTCTGTAGCAAAGTCTTGCTCGCATGTGGTAGGTCCTTATAATGCTGTATGTAGTGCTGCAACTGAAATATAATGCCTGTAGTAAAGAGAATTTGGAAAGGATGCCTGTCAACATAAATATGTGGGGGGTGAAATCCAACCCTGTTGCCATTGAAGCGTGTAATTGCCAGCTGGAAAGAAAAAACTGAAATTTAGGTGCTGAATATACTTGTTTTCAGACACTGTATGTTGAATGGAGTATCTCTGGCAGTGACAGCTAGATCAGCGTTTGTGTTGTCTGCATCTACCAACATGTTACTACAGCTAAGTAAACCTAGATGCGGGTTGGGCGCAGACACCAACAAACCCTGGAACAGCGTCGTCCATTCAGTTCATATACATCGGTGGGTGGTTTCCATAGGAAGCTCTGGCTGATTGAAAATGAGGTGTTTTCTCTCATTTCAGCAGGGATGATGATATTGAGGTGCTTGCAGATGAAACCTCTGACACAGCTGAGGAGACATCTCCAGTGCGAGCTGTCAGCCGAACATCAAGGTTTGTAGACCAAGAGGGTTTTGTTTCATGTAATTGAGAAGAACAAGGGATATAAGAGTTGGAACAATGTTGGGAATGTAACTTACAGTTTTTACTTGCCTTTAGCAAGTTTAGTACTTCCACCAGAGCAGTATGAGACTCATGTGCTGTGTTCTCTGTTACCATGCTCTACATAGGCTCTGGTTTTCCTTTGCTGTTTTAAATAAATTAAACTAGTGTCTGAAAAATCTGTGTTTAATCTTAAAAACAAAGGTTTAAAAGCAAAGTAGACAATAAAATGGGTATTGCAGTGCCTATTGTATTATATCTCTGTTACTATACAAGATACCAATATGACTTTACAAATAGCTGCGGTTTTTGATTTCACTGAAATGCTGAAAATATCTTCACCTAGATTAAATGCATCTTTTTCTTCCTCTAAAATAGCAGTGAGTGGAAAGTAAGAGGTAGTTACATGAGAACATGGATTAATTTGGTTGAAACTTCAGACTTGGCAGACTGTTCTATCGAAAACCAGTAATTCACAGGGTGGAGGTTGAGGGAAATTGAAGAAACTTCACTCACAAATTATGTTCTGAGTTGTAGTTACTGGTGCCTTTTGAACTGATGCCTGCCTTTGGTGTTTTGTGTCTTCGGACTGGGTCTGCAGGGGAGGGAGTCTTTCCAGAGACTTGTTGCAATGAAATGTGTTTGTATTGATCTTTATGTTGAGAAGCTATTCACAAGGTTTAAACCTGTCCTCCCCTCCTTCAGTAAGCGACTCTCCCAGCCAGCTGGAGGCCTTCTGGACTCTATCACTAATATCTTTGGGTAGGTTAGAACACTTTCACCTCTTTGTTTTGTATATTGGTTTCAATGTACACCAAGATCTTGGTGATGCAGGGAATACAAACAAATAATTTCAGCCTTTCTTCTAGCTTCTGCCTTTCTTTTTTTTCTTTTTTGTTCTCCTCAACTTCCTGTTTCTTCCATCTTGCCGTGTGCTGACCTCTGACCTTTCCCTCCAGTCTGTCTGAGTCTCCCCTTTTGGGACATCAATCTTCTGATGCTGCCAGGTGAAAACATTATCCGCTCTTAGTCCAGCATGTGAATGTATTCCATTGAAGTAACACGGAACCCAGCTGCATTATCCTGCTTAGATTTCAAATGTTGATAACACTGGATAGAAACTGCCTACAGTTAGAGAGGCGAGGAGCCCCTCTTTGTGGAGAGAGTACATGGGGGTTGCTCTTACTTTCCACTGCACTTTGCTCCTTTAATAGGGTTATTTAAAATAAGTCGTTGGGTTCTATGCTTAGTGTCCGGAGTGGAGCCAGTCCTTCTAAGTCAAGCTCTGCATTAGGTGGACAGTCTTTGCTTAAATGGTGCAGCCCGAGCTTTTGAATGGAGCATTTTGCTGCCTGGGATGTAGTGCTGCAATGGTGTTGAGTCTCCCTAGACGTAATGATGGAGTTGCAGTCTCTCCAGCTGAACTCGGCTGCAGTCATTCCCATGGTTCTCTTTCCTGTAAAAAAAAAAGACTGCTCCAAAATGAGGTCAGTAATCAGTTCAGGTAACTTATCTGGCGTACTATGAAATATCTAAAGCCACAAGTGGATGTAGTGTTATAAGACAAATGTAATTTTTGAAAGATGGGATAAAAGAAAGTCAAAAACTCCTTCCCCCATTTTTTTTAATCACTGTACAGTGTAGTTGAGTGACAGGTACACATCTGGATGAACTCAAGAGAAACAGCGTTCGCTTCTCGTTTTAAAATATTTCTACTTCGTTTCATCTCAGGAGGCGTTCTTTGTCCTCATACCCTGCTCCCCAGGATAATGTAGAGCCACATCCAGGTGCCAGTAAAGAAGTGAGAGTGCCCACTACTGCCATATGTGTCTTTGTAAGTATAGCAGGAATTCTCGGTTTTACCATTCCTTTTACCGTCTTTGGAGGAAGTGAATCCTATCTGTGTGGGAACTGATCTCCTGAAACTCTTTCTATTAACATTGCCAAACAAGAAGGAATTCTTGATTTGGTAGCATGGTTCATCCCATGTAATTTTCAGCCCAAATGCTTCTCAGAGACAATGTGCTTGATGTTTGTCTTGCTGAGGTCAATGATGACTAGTAAAAGGTCTGAGGGCACAGGGGAATTACACTCCATTACCCTCTTGGCTCCCAGCAGTCCCTGTTCTGTCATGCCATAGTAGAGCAATGATTGAGGAAGAGATTGCTGACAGTTTGGGATTAATTCAGTTCCAGTTCTCCACAGTGAAGGGAGTTGTGGCACTGAATGTCATCCAACAGAACTGGTTAAGAGGAGCTTGTGGTAGTGGGGTGTCTTCAATTGTTGTGTGTGATCTAAAGTTTTCAAGCTGAGACCTCCTTTATGTGTTGTTTTGGCCTCACAAGGCCAAACCTAAATTTCTGTGAAGGGCATCGCCTTCTGAATGGAAGATATTGTGGTAAATTGTCTTCTAACACAGCTACTTGTTTGAACATTCCTCTTGAGCTTTCTCAGGCACTCCAGTGCTGGATGTGAATATTTCATGGATATGAAATGACTTATTTTTTTCATTCAGAGTAACAGAGTGGCTCACTGCAGCGTGGAGGCTTGTGTATTCCTAGCCTGCCCTGTTACCATCTTCTCTAGTGGAAGTCATGGGGTGGAGGCAGTAGCAATGTTACCTTAAGTGAGAATAGGGTCATAACTTAATTGACAGCCTGGAGCTGGCTTGACCAGGGAGCATCAGAGATGTTCATGGCTGCAGTATGTGTTGCAACCTCTCTCCTCCTCTGGCTATGTACAGCAAGCAGAGTTGATCAACAGATATAATCCTGGCTAATTTCATCATAAAAGGTATTGCAAAGCTATGTATGTGAGGTTTTCAAGAATCATGTGAGAGGTTATGTTGTTTTCACCTTTCTCTTGATCATCTGTAATGTCATCTGAACTTCCAAGAGCAGCGCAGCCTGTCTTCCCAATATGGAGGGGCAAACCACAGTAGGCTATGCTGATCCCCAGTCTTGGCAATGTGGAGAATGCTGCCCCATTCCAGTTCCCCATCTTGCAGCAGGAGTAGGAACAGCTGCAGTAGTAAGCCTGTCAGACTGTGGCAGTGTGGAGGTGATGTGTGGTTAGCGCTGCAATATTAGAAGGAAAAAGTCCCTACTCATTTCATGGGTATCCATATGTTCCTTCTGGATATGATGTGTGTTATGTTTTAGCTCCTGTGTTTGGAGCCCAGGTGGAGTGTGAGGACATGTCTAGGTCCAGCAGAGCATTCCAGGAATGAGTGCAAGGACTCTGTGCTGGAGGTTTGGCAGATACGGGCAGCAGACCGGGCTCTCTTCTGGAGGGATGAGTAGAACAGGCTTGGGAAGGCAGAGAAGGTAGTCACTTCAGCCATCATTCTTGGCCATAGTTTCTAGGCAAGACCTTTGACCACTTTTGTTCTGAATGGCTCTTCTGCACTTGTAGAAAGATCAGATTTGAAGTGTGATGACCCCTAAATATGAGCTGGCAGACCAAGTTCAAGCAACAAGTTCCAGAAAAATGCAAGTTTCCAGAAAAACTGATTTTGAAAGAGCAGTTACTGAAAATACTTAAAAAGTAATGCAGCAAATGGATTAAGAATGTGGTACTAATACTGTGTGGGTAAGTAGTATAAAGCTGTGAAATTAACAGGGGGGAAAAAAGGAAGGTATCTTAAAATTCTCATAGGTTTTAGAAGGTTAAGAATCACTATTAAGTGGCCAACTCAAGCTTCAAAACATTAAGCTGTGAGAAAGCAGGGGTGCAGGGGTGTCACTGCATCTGCAGATAGGAACCACAGCTTAAGCCCAAGTTCTCTGAGAGAAGGTGCTGTCACAACTGTGCTGGTACTACTTAATCACCAATATAAAGTAGCATTATCACCAATATGCTAAATGAATGCAGTTAATCTGTTATGCTGTTTTCTAGCAGACTTTCCTAACTCAAGCCTGACTTGAGTGTTCTGTGGTTGCATGAACTGATTGGATCATGTTCCATGGCTGGCTCTAGATGGAGAAATAAAAAGTTAGTTTCCTTCTACAGCATATCACCTGTTACTGTTTTCTGTCCTGTCCTTTCCTTAATTTTTTTCTGGTGTAACTTAAAAGCCTTACCTTATAAAGCCTAAACTTACGAAGCATTGTGAGGCTTCTGGCAGTTTATTATCACTGTTGAGTCCTTGCTAGTGTTTTTCTTTATGTGCATTTGTTTTTTTCTTTAGATAAGGATCAGCCTTTTTGCTCTGTTTGTACACCATCAACCATAGTAGAGTTTCAGTCTGTGGCTTTGTTTCCTATATAGCGCTGAAAGATCTACACTTGTGGTTCTGTATAACCTTTAAGTTCTGTAGCTTTCTAATCTGTGGTTTTTTGGGTCTATGCTAATTCCATTTTGGGCGGCTGTTCTGTTCCTCCCACTCCTCAGGATGCACATGATGGGGAGGTGAATGCAGTGCAGTTCAGCCCTGGCTCCCGGTTACTAGCAACAGGAGGCATGGACCGGAGGGTTAAGCTTTGGGAAGTCTTGGGAGGTAAACGTCTTTGCTTCGGGATATGGCGGGATGCTAAACAAACTCATATTATAGTTCACTTTGTGTCAGCTTCTGTTCTAATCCATTGCTTAAGTTTTGTTTGTCTTTCTCTGTGCAGATAGGTGTGAGCCCAAAGGTTCCCTCTCTGGTAGTAATGCTGGGATTACAAGCATAGAATTTGATAGTGCTGTGAGTATCTGTGCAATATCCACTGTTTATGATTGGGAATAAATTAATTGAATTATGTTGTGCTCTGCTATCAATTTCCATTCTAATACTTTGAAAAGTTACCTAAGAAATGAGTTAAAATACTTATGAGAGTAACTGCAAATAGTTAAAAATTGTACAAAAGATCTTTATTTGATATGCTGCAGTCTGTAATTCTCATCTTTGCTTTACAGTTCAGAACATGATATGCAGCTCAGACATTGGCTGTTATGGGCTATTATGATAAAATGACAGTAAAATACACTAGGCTTTGTCTAAAGTAAGAAATTAGTCTTCAGCTTCCCACTAAAGTTGGCATAACAGCACAAAAGCAGCAAATACACTGAGGCTTTATTTCTGTGAAGTTTATTTCCATAAGTGCTCTGCCGAGGTCTGTGATGAACAGTAAAAGGTCTGATTATCCCAAGACTTGCACTTCCATGACCTTTTCTCCCAGCAGTTTCTCACCGGTCACGGCACAGTAATGATGTGGCTGGCAGAGCGTTTGCTGACAGCTCGTGATGTGTTCAGTTCATGTTAACCTGAAGTGTCAGAGGCATGACTGGGACCAGTATCCAACAGTCTTACTTTGAAGGAGTTTGGGGTCTTGGATTGTTATAACTGGACGTTTGATCTGACTTTTCTGCTGAGTCCTCTCCCATAACACAATGCTTTACTGTATAGACAGTAGACCAAAGCTGACATCATTGCTTCCATTTGGTGATTCTATGTGCTAAACTTTGATACACACCCAAAAGGATCCTTCCTTTGGACACTGACCAGCTCATTAGAGGTTTGCTGGCACTGTCAATCTACAGGAGAAACTAGTTCTGATTTTCACAAGCTGCTTGAACACATTTGAGATGAGAACTGCCTGAGGTGAGATGCTAATGGGCTTTAAGGATTCAGGAAAGTCTTTTGAGATGGACAGGAGTGCAAGCATGAATCTTGTGGTGTCCATTCTCCATCATGGATGACTTGGAAGAGCCCTAAGCCTAAAGCCATGAACAAGTCAATTTATCTCTCCTTGGACAGATTTAGTTTCTGGAATCTTAGTTTAAAATGTTAGAATTTTAATGAAAATTGGAAGAATTGGGCTAATTCCCTTCTGAGGCCTATCTAAGCAGTGGGGGTAGATGATGCAGGGCTTTTTCCCTGTGAAAAAAAAAATAAAAAAAGAGGAAAAAAACCCACAACAGATGAGGGTAAATGAGAACCTGTTTCCTCACTGCAGCAGAAGTGAAAGGAGAATGTCCTTTCTGATCTGGTTGTTGTTATTCCTTTTTATCTGTAGTCATGATTCTACAAATCACTGTCACATTTTGATGAGAAGAAAAAGCCATAGCCTTTTTGAAAGTGGTTACCCTAGCTTTCCTTACTGGTATATGCTACTGTTTTTTTGGTTTTATTCTTTTTTTCCCTTGACAATATAGCGCTAATATGGTTTTAATGATTTATTGGAAATACTTTTGAGTTTAATTTGCATATTGACTAACAGAAGTAGTTTTAAATTAATCTTGTGTTCACAGGGTTCTTACCTCTTAGCAGCTTCAAATGACTTTGCCAGCAGAATCTGGACAGTTGACGACAATCGGTTACGGGTGAGTCTCTTGAAGGCAAAACAGTGCTCAGGTTGTTTCTTTCTTGTATTTCCGTTTTGTCTCATGGGAACATGGCAGTTTTGGAAGTTTGGCATTTACAGACACTTTCAATAATTCTTTTTGTTAACAGAATCTTTATTTCTCTTCAGGGTCTTCACAGCAAGACCTAAAATACAGTATTGGTCTCTGCACAGCCTTGCAGGAAACTCCAGTTACTGCATATTTTCACAATACAGCCCCCCTGCTAGCAAAACCTTACCACGTAAACCCAATACACTTTTGCATCTGCCTATGTGGAAATGTAAATGCTTCTTATGGTTTATGGAGAACCACTTCAATGTTTTAGCCTCAATCCAAGGAGAGGACTGCTAAATAAGGGTTTGCAGAAGACAAAGAGGGATTTTTGGTTTTAAGTCAGGAGCAGCATTCTTGAAAAGGATTTTAAGCTGTTAAAGGCAGCAAGCCTAAAAGTGCTTGACTTTATTCTTAATGTCTTTTGAAAGATTGCTTCTCTCCTCCCAACTCCTTTGTACTCACATTCTTCTCCAACACTTAGCTCCAGTTTAAAGAAGGATTCACCTGTGATTGACTAAAAGAAAAGTTTCTTTTCAGCTTTCTAGGAGGTTTTTTTATTGTCATTCCTATGTACACTTTTCCTCAACTTTTTATTTTAGGAAGATACTACTTTGATGTTCTGAATCTTCTGACATTTCATGTCAGTTATAACCTACAGCTGCATTGTAATTCACTGGGTCATTCTCAGTGTGGAGGTGTCAGGTCTCATTCAGGAGAGTGAAGAATATCAGTTCTTTTGCAGCTTCTGTTTGGCTACAAAACCTACTATTGGATGTGAGTTATAGTGAATAAAAGTTTAGCAGACTATAGATTACTCACTACAAAAAGTTCGTTATCCCTGCAAATATCCACCTGGCCTTACAGTGTCTTCCTGTAATTTTTTGGTGTCCTTGGTGACTACCGGCTTTGGGTGAGTGCATTCACTGTTCGCTGAAATAAAATAGTGCATTCCTTGTTTTGAGAGAGCGTGGTATGGATTTGTCGTGGCTTGCACATGAGCAGGAGGTAGTGAAGCTGAAATCACGGTAACTTTTGCCACAAACTCCCTACTTAAATGCAAATATCTGTACGTAATGACTGTGCAGCAAGAGCAGAAGAGAGATGCAGAGTGAAAGTTTAGATCCTCCTTTCTGGAGTTTATGTCCTTTCTTAAGATGAAGTAGTCTTTATGGGATGATTCGTTCTTTCAGAGTTTGTGTTGTGTATCAGGTTTGGTTTTTTCCCAAACTTTGCTCCCATTCCTTTCTGTTCTTGAGGGTTTTTCTTTTGTATTTCCCAAGCCCAGATTGCTTTGTGTAATTTGATAGTCCTTTGAGTATTTAAAAAAACCAAACCTCTATATACCAATGATTTCTCTCTTGTTTTTCACAATTCTTACTTCAGTCGTTCATTATCTGTTTTGTGGTTTAGTATGTAAATATTCAACAATTTGAAGTGAATGTGGCTCATGTTCTTCTCAGCCCCACAGAGCCTCCCCCTGCAGTTACAGAAACTGCTGCAGGGAGTTTTTCTGAAATCTCTGGTTGTCTCAGCTTTCAGGCTTGAAGATATAACAACAGTCGAGACTAGATATGCTGTATCCTTGAGAGAAGCTCATTATAAAAACCTGAAGGCACAATTTCCATTTTTAGCATGCTTTAACCCCTTCTCCTCATAGCTCCTGCAAGGCTATGTTGCAGTTGCCATCTGTCCATGAAATGTAGCTGTATGGAGTGTTGAGGAAGAGAGCTCGCAGGTTCCCTGAGCAGCTAGAGAAACTGCAGCCGAAGGTGACCTGTGTCGCCCAGCTTCAGGCTGAAGTCTGTGGTACTTAACACTCTTACTCAGTGTTAATCTCTGTTTAACTGTAATAGATTTTTTTTTTTTTTTCCTCCAAGCAGTGCAGTAGACATGCAAATTATGATTTAAGATTGTCTTTGAGTTATTAAATAGAGAACTTGTAAGCTATGACGAAAGGGAGCAAGTGGGACTGTGCAATTTTACCATGTAAATCTCTCGTCCTTAGCACACCCTGACAGGTCACAGCGGTAAAGTTCTGTCAGCCAAGTTCTTGCTGGACAATGCACGCATTGTTTCGGGAAGTCATGACCGGACCCTCAAGCTTTGGGACCTCCGCAGCAAAGTTTGTAAGGAAACCTAACTTCCGTCTTCCATCCATGTTCTGTGCTTCTGCTGAATGTAAATGGAAGTCTGACATCAGCCAGATTATTCCATCTTCTTGCTAGTCTAAAAAAGCAAAAAGTAGCAGCCATGCCATCTTCTGTTGTTATTCAAGTAATCGGATTCTTTCTGCCTGTTACTGAAATAAGAATAAGAAATCATGTGTATGCAGAAAGCACTGTTAATGCTATTACATTAATAGCAGCTGTGTTCTGAGAGTGTCCTTTGTTTACCGGTCTGGGGGTGGGGGTATTTTAGTCTTCCACTAAAAACTTGGAGCCGGGTCAGAGGTTTTAACCCTGAGGTGGATGGAAATGTCTCTTGGAAATGTACCAAAAATTTCAACATCTCAAATGAAGGAAATGATAGGATCCAGATTTTTCTTCGGGAGAAACACCTTATTTCCTTGGCATTTCTCCTATTAATGGCTCTTCAACCTGCTTGCAATGAGAGAGAAGTTGAGATTCAAGGTTACCTTGATGCTTGGACCACAGACATAGGTCAAGGAGACAGTTTCATCTTGTTTAACAGTAGCAAATTATAGCTGTTTAAATATGAAGTGGAAGTAAAGCAGCTGTTGTGGGAGCATTTAAAGGGGTATTAGCCACAGCAAAGGAGATTGAGAAGGGTAGAGAGGTTGTTGGAGACTTAAGTCAGGATTATTCTAAGACAGAGTTTGTATGCCCTGTGGACTTCCTTGGACACTGCTCTGTGTGGCCACTGTGTGTGTGGTATAGTGATTATTCTCTGTCTCTGTTTTCATCAGTTAGTACAGTATAAATTTCAGTGTGTCACCATTGATTTATCCTTTTTAGGTATAAAAACAGTGTTTGCAGGATCTAGCTGCAATGACATCGTATGTACTGAGCAATGTGTAATGAGTGGACATTTTGATAAGAAAATTCGTTTCTGGGATATCAGGTAAAACTATTGTAAGAGAGCTTATAGTGTAGGAATGGTTATGGGATTGCTTTCCAAGTATAATCTGAGCTAGGGAACTATTCTTCCTGAGCTTGGAACCTAATGAGACTTTATAAGAGTTGCAGAAGGCCATTGAGATAACAAAGTAAAAAGACTTTGTTACTACTTTATACTTCTTTGGTGTTTTGGGTTTGGGATTTTTTTGGGGGAACGCTGTTTCTTTTCTGAAAAGGCAGTCTGCTTTCTTGTAAATATTTTGCATTGGTCAGTACTTGCCATTCTGGATGTTATTTAGCTTTTCAGAGGGTGGGGTTGTGAGGAAAGTAGTATCTAACTGTTGGCTGGAAACGTTATCCACAAAGTGAGATCTAGCTTGAGAAAGAATCAAAATGTGAGAATAAACCAGTAATCCTTTTTCTCCTCTTCTTCCACTTTGGGACAAGTTAAAGTTTTGATGCAGTGGTTTGGCTTCTGGACCCTGGTTTACTCTTTCTTTTTTCTTTTTCTCTGGTTCTTTTTTTTCTGTCTTTAGGACTGAAAGCATAGTAAAAGAACTGGAGCTGCTTGGAAGAATCACAGCTCTGGACCTGAACTCGGAGCGAACGGAGCTTTTGACCTGTTCCCGTGATGACCTACTAAAGATCATTGATCTGCGGGTTAGTGCTGTCAAGCAGACATTCAGGTGAGTGTGTTCTCCACAAAAACATTATGAATTTCAGAATTTTGGATTGCAGATTGCCCTCAGTGTTGGAGTGTTTTTCAGTATCTCCATGGAGAGAGCAGTCTCCTAACTTTTTTTCTACATGGGTAGGAAAGTTCTCTAGAGTCTAACCGCAAAGATCTGCTCGGTGGATCTTTTCATTTATTTCTTTAAAGAAGGTAGCTTGGCTTAGAAGTCTTTGGCCTAAAGGAAAGAATTTCTTCGGATGCGATTGAGAGGAAGGTGTATAAGAAATGCAAATTGTGATAAAGGGATACTGGAGCTTATTCCAAACCATGTAGAAATCCTTACCACGCACTTTAGTGAGACTTGGAAGTCCATCTTCTTATAAATGAATTTACAATTATCTGATTCTAACTTTTCAGCGCCCAGGGATTCAAATGTGGCTCTGACTGGACGAGAGTTGTGTTCAGGTAAGGTCAGATATAAGCAAGATACCTGATAAATCTTTCCCCAGCAAAAGTGAGTGATTCCTGATGCTTGGCTGTATTGTACCCATTTACAGCTAGAAAAACTGGGGCAGAGTTTGTGATTTGCCCAAGGTTACCTCTTGGTCAAGACAGAATAGATCTGTAGATGTTGATCCAATGTCTTGGAAACTTTCTGATTTCAAAGTGCTTTCACTTCTTAGTGTTAGCAGCTGGTAACACATAACTCTTAAAAGACTACTTAATGCCAGGTTGCTTGCTTAGGAAGTTGTGGGTGGAATGATGATGTGTGCTGATAAATTGCTGACTTGAAAATTGTTCTCTGCCTTTTGCACCTTCTCTGATCTCATAGCCCTGACGGTAACTATGTGGCTGCTGGTTCAGCTGATGGGGCCCTCTATATTTGGAATGTGCTCACTGGGAAATTGGAGAGGACGCTTGCGAAGCATCACAGGTGAGGGGAAGCTGGCTGTATAATCTAAAGTGGGGATCTGGGTTGTGAATCTTGTTGAGCTATCAAAGAATTGTAGTCATACAGCTTTGCAACTTCTATGGGTGTGTGAGAATTTTTAATATGCAGATTCTTTGTGGATTCATGGCAGTATTCTCTAGATTGAATTAAGTTTAGGTTTGTTATTGTTCAACTTCTTAAACGGAGATATGATTCTAATAAAGTACATTTAATATATTCTGAAGAAACTGTGTCTCTCTTAGGCTTATTAAAAGCCCGAGTCTCTGGAGACCTGAGAAAGTGTTTTTTCTTCGATAGTCAGAGTACTATACTGTTTCATTCCAGTGTTAAGTGCTGTTGTGGAATTCAGCTTTTTTGTAAACTTATACCTGGCTTCCATTTCAGTTCTTCTATCAATGCAGTTGCATGGTCACCAGCGGGTGCCCATGTGGTCAGTGTGGACAAAGGAAACAAGGCTGTCCTGTGGTCTGAATTTTGACTGGACGGAGGGTGAAAGGCAGAGCGTCCAGCGCCTCTGTATGGTGGTGCTGGTCCGTGGCTGAACAGAATGGAGACCCGAGCCCAGATCCATCCTGAGTCGGGATATTAACAAGCGCATGAGCTTCACTTTCCAGAGGAAAGTTCTAAAGCAATGGAGAAGGAGCCTGAGTCAGAGACTTCTTATGGCCGTAACTGCACTGTGGCACTCGGACTCAGCAAGGGATTAGCTGTTCTGGATGGAGAATGCTATTTAGTCATGCCTTTACATGCAGTATCTATGCACCAAGGGGAGCTGAAGATACTAGCGGGATTCCTCACCAGACAGCTGTGCCAAATACCGTGTCACACAAATGTATCTACAGCACTTCTGAGCTGGAAATGTTGGAAAGAAGTTACTGTGTATGCTGACTTAATACGTGTCCTGTCTCCTGTGTTCTGTTCTCGTGGCCTAGTTCAGGCATGGGGTGAGAAGATCCTGAAACACGGACAGGTCCTAGGCCGTCTGAAGTGTTGGAACAGCTTTTAAAGAGAGTCTCCTGTGGCTCTGGCAGCTCTGCCTTTGAGTTATTGGCTCAATTCAGATCTGCTCTGATCCTGACACACATTCTCCAGCACTGTCATGTGAACTCTTTGTATCAGTTTCACCTCTTCTTAAGGCAATGGTCCGTTCTTCAGGACTTCTGCACCCTTTTGTTAAAATGCCCTTCAACAGCTCGGGTATCACAAAATAGGAGATTTTTAATCTTTTTATTCCACAGGCAGTTTGGTTAATGGGCGTAAGGAGAGAGAAGTTCAACTTCTGTTGTGCTGCTGTGATAAGGAATGTAGTCATACTGTGACTTCAGTACCAGAGTATAGACGTTCGGTCCCTTTTTCTGTTCATCCGTCCTGTCCCTGGCGGCTGTCAGTAGAACACAGGGGAACAGTGGGGTTAAATCCCAAAAAATCCCAAATCCATTGTTTTGGTGCTGGCAATTCCAGGCCACTTGCCCCCTTCTTGAGCACACGTGCAATATTCCTGTTTGCGCTGGAGCCCGCTCTGTGCTACGGAGCACTGTCTTGGCTCTGTCCCTGTTTAAGCATCCAAAACCATGATGTGGCTGGGTGTGAGCTACCTGGCATAACTTTATCCAGCCAAACCTTTCCACATCGTCTGGGCCTCGAGACAAGCCACCAGCGTTTTATTGCCTTTTTATTTGCACTTTATTTTCTTCTTTCCTGATAATGTTTTACTAAGGAAGCATGTTCTTCGGAGGGGCTGGATTAGGGGGCAGCTGCTATAACAGGCATCTCTCTAACCTAGCCTTTTGTTCAGACACTTTCTGCAGAGGGGAATTAGAGTATATGGGGCAAAGTTTTTATTTATTCAGCTGCCCATAAGAACTTGATTGTAAATAAACCTGTGTTCTGCTTTTAAAACCCCACAATGCTCTGATTCATTTATTTGTGTGTCTGTCTGAGATCTTATTCTAAATGAGCAAAGAGGGAAACGTGAAATGTCTATTTTTGTGCTATGTTTTCCTGACAAATTGTGGATTTCAGCCGCACTGTGGGATTTGGTGTAGAGGGGGAAAGAGGATAATGCTCTTAGCTTGAAGCTGGACATCCCGCAGATACAACCTCTCTTGCCCTGTCTCAGGAGTACTGCCTTGAGACTGAATGAAGGCTTGCCACGTTGAACAAGTGCCTCTGTCCTTGAAAGGTTGATGTATTCTTGGATGTTTCAAATAAATTACTGAATTGAGGAAATTAGTATCTGTATTTCAGACACTGCTGAAAATAGAAGGCTTTTTCTGCTGTGATACTTTGACTGCTACCTTGTTATGTTTTTAAGCTAGTAATAGGAGTTGCATGTTTCTTTAAAAACACAAAAACCCTTGTTGAAGATAATGCTCTGGTTCCTACTTCAGAGTAATAAGTAAAGCCTTCAGCTGTTTAATGGACAAATTTCATACATATGTAAGAGCCATCAATGACCCACCTTCCTGTTTTCATAAAAAAAGAAGCCTTCTGTCCAGCTCTTGGAAGTGAGAACGTAGCAAAAATGGAAAGATTCAGATTGGTATTCTGAAGCATTTCTAAAGGCAAGATATTTTTTCTTCTGCCTGTTGCTATGGGAGAAGGTCCTTGAAAAGGCACCTACCAAGAGTCCAGGTGACCTTGGTTACTGTGGAAAAGCAGATCACTAAATGACCAGTCAGCATGATGAAGGATTATTGGGAGATTAACATAATAAAAACTCTGCAGGCTGTGCTGAGGAGGATCAGAATGGTTTTAGGAAGTTTATAATTTAGGCTGCTATACTTGTGTTTTTCTACAACATGGACACAGATCTTACACAAAGGGTTTTGTTTTGCCTGTTGGTGCTGTTACAAAGTAGGTTAATAATACTCGAGGATAATGGCTAGCTAGCTAAGACCTTAAGCATTTTAGATTAAAATTCCTTAGGACCAAGGTACACTAGGGAATTCTAGTGACCAATTTTAGCTTTTTTTACTATAGTTTATTTATTTACTTCTATTGCCCCCTTTTCTGCTTCAACCTGCAGAGGGAAGAAGAAAAAACGAAGGTACCTGCTGTGCAGAGGTGGCTGTCGCACTGTTTCTCTGCTAAAGGTGGAGCTGCCCTTCTGGTGGTTTTGGGGGGTGGGGTGGGCGTCTTTCTCTGGACGTAAGGGTGCATTCTGAAACGTGTTATGGAGAAGCTGCTTCCAAGCTCCCCTGAAGATGTTTGCAATGCCGCATGTACCCATGCCTCGCAGGCCCTCAGAGGAGTAGAAGTATTACAGGAATGCTCCTTCCTCTCCTGAAGGACTAATAATCCTGCAGTGGCAGCAGCACAAACTCTTAACAAAATCAGCTTGCTCCTTTTTGCCTTTGCACTGTGTGACTGAATAGAACGCGTTGATTTTTGTGGGTTAATTTCTGGGGTCTCTTCCCTACTTCCTACAGCGAGGATCTGGCTTTCCTTCTGCAACACAGGCACATGCGAGTTTCTGTGTTTTAGGGCTGGCTGGTTTGTGTTTGCCAGAGTTGATTAAACAGAGTAGTGATTAAGCTCTCCAAATAATCCACCTCCGGTTAATAAAATGTTGCTGGAATTTGGAAAACACTGAAAGAGCTGAGGAACACTGGTTCTGTGTTCATTTTTTGGAATAATTTGTGTACCCAGGCCACTATATTCAGGCAAATGTTGGTGATTGTTTGCAAAAAGCAAGCTTGATTTGTGACTGCAAGATTGCCTGAAATGGAGGGTGCTGTTCAGGCTGGCAAGTGGAGAGGATATCATGTGATCTTTCTAATCAAACTAACAGATGCAGCCCAGAGGAAAGCTACAGCTGTTTATGCAGCTTTCAAGCCAAAAATTACACATATTGTTGTGCATAATATCAAGACCACATTCATCGGGGGGGGGGGGAAGCTATTCTTGGGACATTTATGAACAGAAAAGCTAAATTGAAATCTTTGTTCGTGTGTCTTGCATCTTGGATGTTGTGCCTCACTCTCTAAGTAAATTAAGGAGGGGAGGTGTACTAACTAGCAACATACTGTTTTGCATCAGCGTGCCAATGGGATGTTGGTGGAGCAATAATAGATAAACTGCTTGGTGATTATGAGAATAATACATTGTTCTCAATGTTTGGTAGTCCTTCATAATGGCATCTATTTATAGAGACTTGGTTTTGTGTTTTATAAACTCCCTTTTTCAAAAATGGCTCTTGTCTGTTCAGCTTCTTATCAGGCTGGATGGCTTGCAACCCTAGGGAGGAGAAGATGGAGAAAGAGCTTTAGAATAAAGCTGCTTTCAGTAACCATCCTGTTCTGTGTAAGTCTGTAGTCTTTACAAAGCATGTGAGTATGACATTGTAGACCTCTTCATTGGCGATCTGAGCTTCCTTAGGTAATGCTTTATGTTGCTGACTTAACCACTTTCCAGTTGAATCTTAGCCCAGGTACAATATTTGCTCTTGGAGGGGGATTAATTCTTGAAATCCTGGATGGACGCAACTAAAGACGTGCTTTCAAATCCCCTACAAATTGTCTTCCTTGTTTACTAAGAGGTTAGTGATTCCCTCTGGTAGATGCGAAGAAGCACAGGACACGGCTGTGTGGAATATTCATCTTTCTTCAGTAGTTTAGGAATTCACGTCTTTGTCCGGTGGCAGCTCCTGTGGCATTTGGAACACAGCAAGGTATTTAATGTTATTTGCTGGTTTGTTTATTTGGGTCTACAGCATGCGTAGGGGGTCTGTTCAGCAACAAATACTAATCTGGATTTGGAAAATATACCTATACTTTATAAAAATAGAAATTCTTAAACATGTAAAGTTTGTCTCTAATCTCTACCTTCCTTTTTTTCCAGCTTTCCAAAAAGGCAAGTATTTCCTTTTTCTACAGTTTGTTGTGCGCAAATAGGCCTAGAAACTGTTTCTACTCTTGAAACAGTTTTAAAATGGGAAAGCAAGCAAAAAAATAGAACGGAAGCAAACTGCAAGGACAGTCATACGCTGTCGGACCGACGGTCTGTCTAACACAATATATTCATTCACACAGGCCCAGTAGGGAGAAGTGTAAGAATAGGGCACGTGTAGCATCATCCTCTCCTGATGCTGCTCCTCAGCTTCAGAGTCCTACGGGGTTAAAGTTGCAGCTGGATCATCCTGTCCAACATCTGCCAAAAGCCTTTTCCCTGTGAATGCACCTAATCCTGTGAATCAATTCATATTGGTGATTTCCAGAGCCTTCTGCAGCAACACACACTACTCTTGAATCTTATGTTACATGGGGAAACGCTTCACTTTATTTTGAATTTGAAGTCTGATCACTTAACTGGATGCTGCTGTTTTATGACTTACAACAAAGTGAAAAACCTAATCTCTCTCCGCTTTGTACCACTCAGGTTTTCTGGATATCTCTCTCTCTGGATATCTCTTGTGTCCTTTTGGTCCCCTTTTTTCCCCTCTCCCCCCAAGAATCTTATTCCATCCTTTTTTTCCTTGGTTACAAGCTGATCCCTACCCCTGGTTATGCTTGTTACCTTTCTGGGCGGGTAGCTAGGCAGTTATATTCTTAAGGTCCATTCTGTTTTGAGTTCAATGGTACCCTGCAGGTAATGGGTTGCATTTGGTTCTGATTTAGGAAAATACAGTAAGACAGATGAGTTCTCATTTTAGGTTTGGTCTGACTCCTTACCAATACATACCAGCTTTCTAGGTCTTAGACTGAGCATGCCGTATCCAAGATGTGGGTATGTAAGGGGTTCCGAAATGGATAAATGGCATTCTCTGTAGTGTTCTTGATTTATTTCCTAATAACTTCTTTGCTTATGTCAAGACATTCTTCCTAAATGATACCAACTGTAACTGTGCATGTCAGACTATAGTTGTATTTTCTTTGAGTGCGATACTTTTCACTTACCGTTACAGAATATACGGTATTTCATCACCTATCCAGTCTGCATCATGAAGCACTCCTCCAGCTTAACATAGCTTTATTTTGGGGAATCCAGAATAGGTTTGTGTCTGTGGGCAGGCTATTCATTCCTTATCTAGGCTTCTTTCCATTTGTTCAAGGACATGCTCGATAGCAAATGTCCCAGGACAGATGACACTGTGCTGCTGTATACTTGCAATGGTCAAAAAAGAAAACAAAACCAAACAAACCCCCCCCAAACAATCCAAACCCTGAAAGTAGCCAAAACCTATATGTATTGATATTCTCTATTTCCTGTATTTTATCCCATTATTAATGAGTGAAATGCCCTTCTTTCTTACCTCATGACAACTTAGAGCCTCTGATGAGAAATCTTGAGGTACCTTTTGAAAATCAAAGTATCTTGTGTTGATCAGATTACCTTTATTTGTACTCTTACAGATTTCTTCACGAAATTACTCTCTACAAACCTCTCTGCAAAGGCCGAGCTATCTTTTCCTCTCCAGATTTTTCTATTAGTCTACTAATTTTTTTAATATGAATTAAAAAGAGTTTGTGGTCTTTTGTAATGTTTCTGAAGACTGTTTTTAAATAGATGTTTTTATGTTTTTTTTTTTTAATGAGGAACTGCTAAAATGAAAAGAAACCCACCGTCTGTGCTGTGTCTGAGTGTTACTGAAATAGTCATTCGTAAACTATACGTGGGAGTAGAGTGCTTTACCCACCAAGTATAATTCTGCTTTTATCTCATCCACCTATTTTTTTTCTGACATCTTTCCCAGGACCTCTTGGGGCAGAAAAGCTTCATTCACCCACAGTCACATACCCACCTTTGACCATGAGCTGCCCTGAGTCTCAAAAGATGGGGACGAGTGGGAAGAATGCTAGTTCTCCTCAAAAACAAATTATCTTCAAAAAAAGCACCCGTGACAAAGCTGTAAGTACCGTAATAATGGGTTTACATAGGTATGAGTTTTACTTGTAGTCAGACT